ATTAGCGATGACCAAAATTTGAAATTGCTTTGTTTTTTTTTTTTTCACTTGACGGGTGTCTTCTGTCGTCTTGTATGTTTTTTTTTTTTTTTAATTTTTTTTATTGTTGTCGTTGCAAGTTATAAGTTAGTTTTAATTAGTTAAGTTAGTGTTTGTCGGGGGCGATATGCGTGAAGTACGATTGGCTGCCGGCGACGAGCTTTTTTTTTTTTCTTCTTCTTCTTCCTCTTCTGTTTGTTTGTTTGTTTGTTTGTTTGTTTTTATATATATTTGCATCAGATTAATACGTTCGCCTTTTTCACCTTTCGAATTTTCCTAAAAAAGACAGAAGAAAATACCCGGTGCATCCACCTCGGTTTAAATATATATATATATAAGTATACATGTAATATAAAGTTGGGGAAAAAGTAATTCATTTTAATTATCGATATCTCGTAAAATATTAATCAAACAATTTCAAATTTATACTTGTTAGAAAGGTGACATTTACAGCTACAAAAAATTCCTTTACCATTTTTTGTTTGGTCCATTTAATTGTGAGCTACAGGATGTTCGAAATGGAAGTCAAAGATATATCCACTATTTTTTCGTTAGATGACTTTAGTTATCGATATCTCGTAAAATATTAATCAAACAATTTCAAATTTATACTTGTTAGAAAGGTGACATTTACAGCTACAAAAAATTCCTCTACCGTTTTTTGTTTGGTCCATTCAGTTGTGAGCTACAGGGTATTCAAAATGGAAATCAACTCTATCTTTTTCTGATCTTTCATTTACTGATGACTATAGTTATCGATATCTCGTAAAATATTAATCAAACAATTTCAAATTTATACTTGTTAGAAAGGTGACATTTACAGCTACAAAAAATTCCTTTACCCTTTTTTTTTTAGTCCATTCAGTTGTGAGTTACAGGGTGTTCAAATTGATCGTGGTCAAGGTGCAATGAAACAGTTCAAACGATTCTGCTGTGCATTTGATGGGACTGGAAAGGAATTGTTTATTATGACTTGCTTAAATATGGACCAAACACTAAATATGGATCTTTACTTTCAACAACTGGACCATTTAAAGCAAGTGATTGACCAGAAACAGCCAAAATTAGCCAACCAGGAGTAGTGTTGTGTTCAATCAGAACTACGCCAGGCCACACGTGTTCATAATGACTCCACAAAAGCTCCAGGAACTTAATTGGGAAGTTTTGATGCAACCATCATATAGTTCAGACCTTGCACCAAGTGATTATCATCTTTTTCTTCCATTTGCAAAACTTCCTTAGTGATAAGAAATTGACATTAACAGAAGATTGTAAAAAATCGATCACTAGGACATCACTAGGACATCACTAGGATGTTTTGTAAATAGGGACTAAGATTTTTATGAGACTGACATTATGAAGATACCATTAAAATGGCAACAAATAAACGAACAAAATGGTGCATGTTTGATTAAAATCAGATAATCCGAAATATATTAAATAAATGATTGAAGTTAACATCAAATGGATTACTTTTTCACCAACCATTATCATGTTTTACGTTTGTACAATTTGTTTATTTACTTTCTTTTTAAATTTACACAAAATTAAGTAGATAATTAAATAAATTTATGACTATACCTGTTTCTGATGTTCACAGGCCGAAGTATCCACCGATGGTAGTTGCCAAGACGACACAAAGTATGGCAAGGCAAATCATGATCATGATCTTCTTCTGTACTCGTTGAAATGGTTGTTGTTAGCAGAGGATCAGCAAAAATTCGATTATCGATTACAAAAGGTAGATATTACAATAGTTTTTTTTTTTTTTTATATTTTACAATCATAATTTTCTTACTCACTCTCTTTATTATCCTTTTTTTTTTTTTTATCCTAACCTGACATTATGCATCATAAGAATACACGCACATAATTTGTCTTTAAATAATAATAATTATTATAATAATTATTTATTTATTTTATAGATATATATATGTACGGCCTTGACGATTATTAATATTTTTTTTTTACGACTATCTGTATTTTTTTAATTTTTAATTTTTTTTTTTTAATTATGCATTTATAATTATTGATAAATTTGTCACAGGTGTGCTTAGGATTGTAAACGCCTCTGTCCATTATTATTTATTTATTATGTATATATATGTTGTTTATTTTAAATTTCATTTTTTTTTTTTTAAACACTACTTCACCCGTAACTTTTCAACAAACCCTTCGTTACCCTTCTTTTATATTTTTTTTGTTCGTTAAAAACGAAACAAACAAAAAAAGTCGTACTCCCTGACAACACCTGAAAGAATAGAATTGGGTCTTGATTCGTTCGTCGGCAGGTAAGCTTCCTGAGGATGTCATTCGTCGTTAGCCTGTATAAAATTGTTCATAGAATTATTCATAATATTGTTTATTTCAATTTTATTTAAATTTATACCAATTAGAAGGAAATTTACCAAGTGTACTAGGAGACTCGTGGTTTAGTCAATAAAAATTCTTAGTACCGTCAGACTTACATTCAATTTCATATAAAATTGATTGACAATTAGCAAACTCTTAAACGATTCCAGGTACACCAGGTACATCAAGTACACCAAGTACATGAAGTACATCAAGTACATTAGATACACCAGGTATACTAGGTACACCAGATATATTAGGTACACAAGGTACCTTAGGTGCACCAGATATATTAGGTACATCAAATATACATGGTATACCAAGTACACTATGTACACCAGATACACCAAGTACACTAAGTACACCAAGTACACTAAGTAAACCAGGTACACTAGGTACACTAGATATATTAGATACACTAAGTACACTAAGTACACCGAGTACACTAAGTATACCAAGTACACTAAGTAAACCAAGTACACCAAGTACACTAAGTAAACCAGGTACACTAGGTACACCAGATACATTAGATATACTAAGTATACTAAGTATACCAGGTACACGAAGTACACCATGTACACCAAATACACTTGGTACACCAAGTACACTAAGTATACCAAGTACACTAAGTAAACTAGGTACACTAGGTACACCAGATACATTAGATACACTAAGTATACCAAGTATACCAGGTACACCAAGTAAACCAGGTACACCAAATACACTTGGTACACCAAATACACTTGGTACACTAGATACACTAGGTACACTAGATACACTAGGTACACTAGGTAAACCAAGTTTTTCATTCCCACGTAAAACATCGATGTTTTTCTAATTCTTTCTTCTCTCTCACACACTTACTCTCACTTTCTCACTCTGTTTTTCTGTTAAAGAAAGGTGTTTCACATAGATACAAATATAACAATATGTATTAACAAAAATATGTATTTGTCTTTTACAAAATAATCAAAATAGCCGTTCGTCGAACTAATATAAACACGGCTGAAATATTTCTATATATATATAACAATTAATTAATTAATTAATTAACGTGCATTTAACAAAGTATCATTAAAATTTAAGTTATGCAACAATTACGATAGCAATCTTAATAATTCCTAAGCGATACTTCTAACAATAATAATAATAATAATAATATTAATAATAATAGTGGTAACGATAGGATATATTCAACTAACATTTACAAAGCTTTGTTTAAACAATAGTAAATAAAGAAATTAAATTAATATTACAAATGTGCGTTAAATAAAACATTTGTCCAAGTATTAAAAATACGAATAAGAAAAAATGACGAAAGTTTATCATTAAAATTTCATCAATCATTCTTTGTTTATAATTTTTATTTTATTTTTTTATTTTTTTTTTTTTGTTATTTTATTCATCGAATATAAACATTGAGTTGTGTTGTTGAATATAATGTGCATTTAAAATCATGCATAATGCAAGTTTTGTGTTTATTCGTTTTATAGACTAGTTTGTGTGCATATTGAACACAAATTTTTTTTCATTTTCATTATTTCTCACTCACACTTTCACTTTCACTTTCAACCCTCTCACTTTTTCATTCTAACAAATACATACGTACGTATATATATATATGTGTATAATACACAAGCAAATACTGAATCGAAGAAATGCATAAAATAAAATTTAAAACAAAATTAATTAATTAATTAATTGTAAGATTTGAATGAGAAAACATGCACTTACAAATAAATTGTTAATTATACCGAGTATAATCGTCATTAGAAAAAAAAAAAAATATTTCATTGTTATCATATTATTATATATTATTATTATTATTATTATTATTAGAGTAATTATACTCTTCATTAGAATTGACAATTGTATTTTAATACTATTTATATTAATATCCAAATTATTTAAATAACCAATGAATAATTAAACTTCCCCCCCCCCCTCTCCTCTCCTCTTCTCACCCTATTCTACTCCTATCCCCTCCTCTTTCTTATGAAGAGTATACTTGGTGTTCTAATAATAAATAAATAAACAAACAAACAAAAAGCAGGAAAAAAGAGAGAAAAAGAAAATAATTATCATTTGCTTCACGACGAGTATACTCGTTGTTGTGACACGACTGGCTAAAAGATTAAACGAAGAATATGGGGGAGGGGGTTGAACGAAAGAAAGAATATATATATATATATGTATAAAAATACAGTAGACCATCGAGAGAATGTTTAAACTAACCTTGGATTACATCGGAAGTTGGATGCTCGTCATCGAAACACCGTCTCGTGCCATTTTTGTAATTTTTTTGTTTGTCCATCATCTTCCTATCTCTCTTTTTCTCTCTTTTTACATTTAATCTCTCTCTCTCTGTCTCTCTCTTTCTCTCTTTTTTTCTTTTCATTTAAGAATTTGAAAATTATTGTTTTTCATTAGACGTTTAAAATCGTCTTAGTCCTTGATGAACATCTCTCGTTGAGCAAATTTTAACACATTTACATATTATGGTTTTTTTTTTTTTTAATTTAGTTTATTTAATTTTTATTTCTTTCTTTTTCTCTATTTTTCTTTTTTTTTTTATTTTCGTTTGTTTCCCTATGCCCTTTCTTGTCCTATCATTTTATCATCACCCCATATCAATGCAAAGTTTTGTTCTATTTTATTTGTTTATAATTAATTCTACGTTGAATTATGTTCGTTCGTTCGTTAAGTTTGTTTAGTTGTAATTTGATGTACTCTATATATATATCATATGATTTTTTATTTTATTAAATAACCTAATTTAAACGCGATTATTTAATATATATATATATTTTTTTATTATTTATTGACGATAAACGTTTACACGTTGAAAGAGAAACTTTAATAAATTTATTTTTAATTAAATTTGCTGTTCTATGCTCCTCACCATTCCTCCTTCTCTCTCTCTCTCTCTCTCTCTCCCTCTCTCTCTCTCTCTTTCATTCTATTTTTTTATTCTATACAAATTGCAATTATTTACAAAATAATAATGACACCCGGTACGCAAATATTTCGTCTATCCTATTGACAACAGACAAAAATCTTAAGGAGTGTAACATGTCACTGAATAAATCTTTGATCTGACACATACATGTCAGTTTTGTCATTTTCAACACATTTTCGTTCGTAGATGCCGGATATATCCGACACCTGTAAAGAAAAAGTTCAAACGTATATATCAGAGGGACCTAAAACTCGAAGAATCCAAAATGTTTTATGCATATTTGCAAAATGATCCTCATCTAATACTCCTGTAAACTAGAATAGAATTTTACCAACTGTAAATTTAGTTTTGATCGTAGCTGCCGGATATATCCGACACCTGTACCGAAAAAGTTCAAATGTATGTATCAGAGGGACTTTCAAACTATTAGATCAAGTCATAAGTAACTTCCGTATCTATTTTTCGTATTTATCTACTATAAGTAACCAAAACAACCACATTTTTGATATCACTGTATAAATGAGGATTCAGTTTAGTCTTCTGTCAACTTTTTTCGATGTAATCAATGTTACATTTAACCCATTTTTCTTAACCTCTCAAAATGGATAGTAAAAAAAGTGCATATTCGACATGCAACGCTTTAAGAATTGAAACAAGGCCAATGGCACTAAAGTGGCAGTTGTAAAAAAATGCAGCGAATACGGTGCAGGACTTGATAACTGATAGGACAGTCAGAAAATTGGTTTGTAAAATTGCCCTTGTGGAGATACGAGCTTAAAAAGACGAACCGAGTGCAAGGACGTCTTTCCGACTTTGATCGAACCCTTTTAAAAGGTAATATTGGAAACAAAATCCAATGGATACGTCCAACGGATGCAAAGAGTGCAAAAAAAAAAAAACAACCAAAAAACTCCATGAAAAGATGTCGTGCACTTATCAGTCGCAGAATTGCCATTCTTAGTCTCATAAACAAAAAACGGAAATTATTTATGACTCGACACCTGTATATTGAATTTCTACACAAAAAAAATGTGTTTTTTTTAGTTAGATCAAAGATTTATTAAGTAACGTTTTATATATTGAGATCTGTAGCACTTGAATACGCTATCTGGTGGCTAAATTCAAAATTAGATTAGACAGTTCGAATTGCTACGCCACGTGGGATTTCCAGTACTTGAATACGCTATCNACTTGAATACGCTATCTGGTGGCTAAATTCAAAATTAGATTAGACAGTTCGAATTGCTACGCCACGTGGGATTTCCAGTACTTGAATACGCTATCTGGTGGCTAAATTCAAAATTAGATTAGATAGGTCGAATTTTGCTACGCCACGTGGTGGGATCTCAAGCACTTTGAATACG